CACAGAGAAACCCTGTCTCGAAAAACCAAAAAAAAAAAAAAAAAGGTAGAAATATTGGGTCCAGGTGTGCAAGTGCCCGTAGACATTCACTGGAAGAGGTCAGTGTAAATGGAGGCTACCCCTTCGTTTCCGGCTGCCCAGACCTCCTGGTTGCCGCTTACAGGACAGGGAACTGAAGGGATGCAAAGGAATACTTTTTAGATCATTAAAACAGCCAACTAAAATGAGTTTTGATGACTGTGTATTGTTCCGGTATGATTATTTGTTGGTTGTTCACGAGGAGGCGGGCCCTTTCTCATTTACAATCTATACTAACTTTACTGTGTACTCGAGAAAACTTAAACTTGGAAGGAGTCTGACAGATGCCCAGGTTCTCCGATCTATTTCTCCGACTCAAGTTCTATATGGTCTACACCAAAGATTCCAGCCAGGCTGCCCACAGAAAATACCTGGAGAATATTTAAATTAAGCAAGTGCCTGGACCCCACCCCCAGTTTAAGGCACCTATCTCTTTTGGTTGGACATTTATTTGGTTTCCTATGATTCCTTTGTCAGGGCTAGATGCTTTATCTCTCAATATTATCCTTCTGTGGCTGATTGTGAAGGTATTTTTGTGGTTCCCAGGTGTTTCAGAGAGTCACCAGTCTGATCATCAGTAAATTCTAACAATGAAGACACTTTTATTCATCCACTGGTACCAGGTCCTCACTAGGGACTCGAGAACTTCAGAGTGTAACCCCAAGTTACCTCAGTCAGAACACAAAGTTACATTCTCATCTAGTGCAAGCTGCAAGTCCTCTCAGGCAAAACAAGGTTTTGTTTACAGAAGCAGAAACAGCAGTTGATCTTATGACCTACTAACTCACAGAAACAATAGTTTTGTTAAAACTTACAAAACCAGGCAATTACAAAAATCAACCCTTAACAACCCTTAACATTTGGAAATTTAATTTTGCTTTATAGTTCTCTTAATCAGAGAAACATAAAACTTTTAAGCATGAAGTCAGCCATCAACATAATGTTAGCTATTGAAGTATAATTTCTGACTTTCTTATTTCTTGTCCATGTTTAGAGCTGTGGGATAATTTTTCTGTACACCGTAAATATATGTTGCTCTCGTTGGTTAATAAAAGTTGCTTTGGCCTATAGCAAGGCACACTATAGCTAGGCAGGAAAGCCAAATAATAGAGAGAGAGAGAGGGCAGAGTAAGAGATGGAAGTCAGCCACCAGAGGAGTAAGATGTGTGAGAGCACTGGTAAAGCCACGAGGCACATGGCAAAAGAGCAATAGAAATGAGTTCATGTAAAGGTAAAAGCTAGTTAGTAATAAGCCTGAGCTATTCAGCCAAGCAGTTTGTAATTAATGAAAGTTTCAGGACTGGGCGGCCAGGAAACGAAAGCACACCCTCTGTTTACAGTTTAGTTATTTCCTTATCCTTCCTTTTCCTACTTCACATCCTCCCCAAAAAATTCACAGCAGGTCCTGAAAGTAGCAGGGACAAAAATGACAGTACTTCTGGTTGAGGGGACACTAGCCCACTAGTGTATGTGGCTAGGGCAGGCCTTGCCCTTCTCCCCCATTCCCTCTGTCGTGCTAAAAAACTGTTAGATTATATTCCTAAAGCTAGCGACCAAGGTCTCTTCCCTTATTTTGCTGCTTTCTCCTCCTGAGGCTGACTACCAAAGTCCAGCAATCAGAAACCACCTTTGGTTCATCTAATTAACATGCCCAATTAAAATTAAAATTTAGCACCTCATCGTAACATGGGGTTTCCCCCTTTACCTTTTTTTTCTCTCTCTCTCTTTTTTTTTTTTTTTTTGTTTTTTCCAGACAAACTCTGTAGCTTTGGAGCCTTTCATGGAACTAGCTCTTGTAGACCAGGATGGCCTCGAACTCACAGAGATCCATCTGCCTCTGCCTCCCGAGTGCTGGGATTAAAGCCACCACTGCCCAACTTCCCCCTTTACCTTTATAAACTGCCATTTTCTTATGTGCCACATCTGTCTCCAGAGGTTGTCCTTTGTCCCTTTGGGACAAATATCCCTCCTCCTTTCCCTTGTCCTCTTCCCTTCCCCCTCATCCCTATCTCCTTTGCCAAGGCATCCTAGCCCATTCTGATACAGACCTCCCCTTTTTCTCTGTAAAATGACACCTGCAAGGTTGTTTACTGCTGTTTTTCTGCCGGAGTCAGAAAGCAGCCACTTTAACTTTTCTTCCCTGCTTAATAAGGATTTCTGTGAAAATAGGTGTTTGGGTGTGGTTTGTGCTTAATCTGGGGTCTGGAAGGGAGCCCCTGCTGTGCGGGAGTCTCCTTCACTGGTTGGGCTGAGGAATGTGGGTTGCTGCCATTTCAAGAGGACAGAACAGGTACATGATGGAGAAAGGATAATGATGCATCTGGAGAGATAAGAATCAAATGCTGGCTGGATAGTGGCTCACTTATCATCAGTCATTTTTGGTTGAGAGAAGGAAGGACACAGCCTTCTGTCCTAGACAGAAATCTTAAATAAATAAATAAATAAATAGTAGATCAAAGTAGAGATGATCTCGCTAAACAGCTTTTAGAATTGCTGGGGCAGAGCAAGGTACAAGGGCTCCCACAAAATAATGTTTAATATGATATGGTGTTGTATTAACAGTTTCCTCTGATACTGAAATGGTCCAGCCTTCAGTGAAGCTCCCTAAACCAGAAGGTGAACAGCTCAAAATATTTTCAGGAAGCCCCTGGAATTGACCAGATTAACTAGGCCCCTCCCTGCCAGAGCAAGCAATAAAGAGGGAAGAGAGTCACTCTCAGACAAGACAAGCTGGAAAGAAGACAGCCATGCACATAACTCGAGCTGCAAAGGTGATTCTCAAACTAGCAAAACTGCAAACAAGACTTTGAGACAAGTCAAATTGCCCAGAAGTAACGGACACGAGCAGAGCTGACTGGAAGAGGTTTAGACTGACTAAGGCATCTAGAAAGGACACTTTTCACCCTGTTGAGCAATTTGCGGGCTATATCGTGTGCTCCTAGGGACTCAGCTTTTGTGAGTTGCCACCCATGCTGGTGATGCAGCTGTCTTTGAGTCATCTTTGCTCTTATAAGTAAGCCTCCACCATATTCCCATAAGTAACGGCAGTGGGACCCATTGGTTCACCAAGTTGGACTTTGGCGGTATCCAGTTTTAGGTGCTGTGTGGTCCTGTTAGGCACTAGCCATTGCACTGTTCCACACGTCCTTTACAGATGCGTGTTCACTCTCGCTCTACCGTCTGTCTTCTCACCTCGCGAGCAGCATTCTGGGAGGAAGAACCGGTTCAGACAGTGCCTCACACCTTGTGAAGACAACAGTGGCAGATGGGACTTTCGCCTGGCCTGTCTTCGACTGTCTTGGATGGTCCTGGTATTGGTTAACTGTCTCCTGTCCAGTCTCACTTTATGTCATTTAGGGGGAAACTGACTGCCTTACCCAAGCTCCAGAGGAGAGAAGCAGGATTGACTAATTAGAACCTCTGCGTTAGGTCAAGAGGGGGGAAAATCACAGTACTTATGAGACAGAGGAAATAAATGACAGACAGGAAATCCATGAGTGTTAATTAGAATTTCCCTCCCTGTGACAATCACATGAGAGAAATGACGTACAGGGAAGGTGTATTCATCCCCGCTGTTTTGCTGTTGTTTTCCTCCTTGCATTATTTGTTCTTCTGCATCTATTTGTGTTACGGACTCATTATTTTACTGTGTTGAATATGGCGGATTCTTCGTCCTCCTTCATCTATTCCTCTCATGAAATCAGCACCACAACCTCACTCAAGCATGCAACCGTGGTAGTGATCTCTGCTGCTCTGTCCATGAGGGCCTGGTTTTCTATTTGCTCTCCTGAGGGAAGGAGCAATCCCAACAGCTTCCACTTGACTTTCCCCACCCGAATGACCCTGAATCTATACATGAGAGACAATGGCTGGCGACGCATGCACTTTCTAAGTGTGTCCGACAGTCATAAGTGCTGGAACTGGGGGGAAATAGCAGGGAGTTCAACCTTTCACTTCAAATTTTCAGGGGCTGTTGGTGTAGTCAATTTGTCCCCTCCAAGGAGAAAATTCCCATATAATGTTCCTATAATGTAGTATTTGGGTGGCAATACTTCAGAAAGATTAAGTTAACATTACTTGCTGGGTACTATGAAACCAAACAGATGTATTGCAATTTAGCCAGGACTTTTTTTTTTAAATCAATTTAAATTGTTTAGACAATTTTATGAAATGGATAAATGGACAGTGGCCACTCTCTCCTTCCAGCCTCCTACCCTCCCTGCCCGCAGCCTCCCCCTTCCCACAAATCTCATTGTGACCCATATGATTAGCCAGGTCTGTCTGTGTGACCACCTGTTTGAAGCTATCCTTTGGGGCATGGCGTCACAATGAACGTGATTCCCCCTCTCTAAGACTCTTTCACTAGCAAACGGTTTGGAAGTAAATGGTAGGACCCACAAGCCCCTCTCTGCACTGTGACTGCTAATAAGGCCTATCTTAGGTGGGCCCAGTACAGCTAATAAGTTTTGAGTTAATGATTGCACTTCACTGGCAAATTGCTGAGACCCTTTCTCAAAAAATAAAGGTAGGGTGTGACAGAGGAAGATGCCTCATGTCATCGCGCACCTATACAGACATTGTCTCTCTCTCTCTCTCACACACACACACACACATACATGCACATATGTAAACCTATACTAGAGCACACACTATACACATACATACTACTTGGGAGGAGGGAGTAGAGAAACAGGAGACAATAATTTTATAATAAAACACCTCTCAGCCGGGTGGTGGTGGCGCACGCCTTTAATCCCAGCACTCTGAAGGCAGAGGCAGGCGGATCTCTGTGAGTTCGAGGCCAGCCTGGTCTAAAATAAGTAGTTCTAGGACAGGAACCAAAAAAGCTACGGAGAAACCCTGTCTCGAAAAATCCAAACAAAAAAACAAAACAAAACAAAAAAACCACCTCTCAAAGCAACTGAAGATGAATGGTAATAAAGAAACCCAACCACTCTTTAATTTAGGCAAAAGTGTATGCACCAGTATTAACTTAGAAAAATAAGTTTAGTCTTTGCTGTAAACTCTTTCACAGTTTTCAAGGAAACGAGTCTCCTCATGGCCTTCCAGAGCATCCACGCATGTCATCCTTCCACGCCCTGCTGCTCAGGAAGTACTTTCGGGGTAGATCTGTTCCGGATTCTCTTCCGTTTCTTTTTCTTTTCTGAAGCAGGCGACTTTGTGTCCTGTGCTTTCTTCTTTTTCTTCAAGCAGCTGAGAGGATTGGGGCCGCCTACCTTCTTTTTTCTCTTCCTCCTAGGTTCCCAGCTCTTCACTAAGCCTTGTTCCTCCTTCAGCTGCTTAATACTTTGTTTCTCATGCACTGAGACCAGCTGGCCTGACTCAACCGCTTTCACAAAGGCCACTGTTCTGGGAGAAGGCCTGTCTAAGACCATAGTGTTCTGAATAATGAACATGAGAGGAATCCCAGGAGTTTTCTTTACTTTCACAGATAAATCCTGATCCTGTTAAAAAAGAAAATGGATTTAGTTTCTCAATCAAGTTTAGGTAGTTAAAATTAAGTTTACAGGAATTTCAAGAAGGTTGTATAGAAAAGGGAGAGACTGGCTTTGTTTCCTCACCTCAGTACGCTTTACTAATCACGGCATGTCTTATAATAGAGGACAAAAAACAAAAACGGTGCTGAGGACAGGTGGGCAACAACAGTCTGGGCTAGACTGCTCAATACTGGGGCCATGAACTATCAACTAATGCAAAAGAAAATGCATTAGGAAGATTCTCTTGTTTCTGTGCTAAAATATTCACTGGAAACATCAATGTGGGAGGAGGCTGAAGTGGAGAAGTGAGCTGACTCAAGGCTTGCTCGAAGTATGGTTGAGCAAATCTGCATGGGAGTGTTTTGATTTCAGCCATGACACCTCCCCTTTGACCTCCCAGCCTTTAAATGCCCTCAACATTCCATGTGTTGCTGGTCTCTTTCTTTTAAGGTTCATTTGTCTTTATGTGTATAGATATTTAGCTACATGAACATCTGTACACCTCATGTATGGCCTTGGAGGCCAAAAGAGGGCGTTGGGAATTGCACCCCAGTCCTCTAAAAGAGCAGCCAGTGCTCTTACCTTCTGAGCCACCCCTCCAGCCCCACAGGATATGCACCATGACTTCTGGAGAAATCATATGAACTGAGGAACATGAAAACAGTTATGAATACAGAATGCAGAGGCTCTGTCCTCATCCCCACGGAAGACCTCTGCAGCAGTCAGCACTACTGCAACTATTCCTCATCCTCTCGAGGGAAACTTCTGGAAGTTTACTTAAGGTTTTCTCCTCATATGTTCCAGTAACTGCTTTTACTGGCTCCATTGAAAAGTCTGCATCTTTGGAAGTGCAAACATGAAACATGGATTATAGCTAAGTGATAGAATCCTTGTCTAACACATCACAATAAGTAAATGAATAAAACTCCAACATTGCATTATCCCTTCCACTGATTTCTTTCTGATCACGTGAAGTATACACAGAAACAGTCAGAACCGCAGTTTTCAAAGTAACATCACCTGTGTTGCCACGAAGTAATGATGAGGGTTTCCCTCCTCCACCATGGACAGGAGGCATTCTGAGCCACTCACTGCACTCTTGACGTGACGACAATTTCGAACCTGGCATTTCTGTGCGATCAGTTTTGCTCCATATAATTCCTTTCCCAGAGTCTCTAACTCCTTTAACACACATCTGGTGGGAAACAAAGTCGAGAGAAGCTCACGATCACAACTGATGCATTCCTTTTGTGTATACAAAGCACGCAGAAACACAATACGCAAGTGTTTACGATGCAAAACTATACCATCAAAATGTGAATTTATAGTACTGTTGCCATTTTCTTCTTAAATGAAGGGTTGAAAATTACATACTCCAAGCGGAAGGGATATCAATGCCAGAATATACTGAGTCCTTGTGTGCATAGGAAGCAAGGAGAACGCTCTTCACGGGTTATTGCTTAACTTCAAATGACTCTAGAAGCTAGGTGATAAACTGGGATTAATTTCTAACTTATCCTCAAGTTTACATCTCTTTGAGAGGTACCAGATACAGTGACCTTCCAGATGTCTGAAGAGGCCTCTAGGTTGCTGGTACAACTTCAAAATAACCTAACACAGAATCCAAAGCAACTTGTGTATCTTATTTGAATCCCGATTTTAAAAAAGTAGTTCAAAATTGTAGGAGCCGGAGGGGTTAAGGACACAAGGAGAACACAGCCCATAGAATGAACTAAGTATGGCTCACAGGGGTTCAGAGACTACAGCAGCGATCACAGAGCCTGCATGGGTCTGTGCTGGGTCCTCTGCATTTGTTAGAGTCGCTACCTTAGTGTTTTTGTGGGACTTCTAACAGTGGGAATGGAGGTATCTCTGATTCTTTTGCCTACTCATGGAATCCTTTTCCTTCTGCTGGGTTGCCTCGTCTGGCCCTGATATGAGGGTTTGTGCTTAGGCCGAATGTATCTTGTTATGCCATGTTTGGTTCATACCCCTTGGAGGTCTGCTCTTATCTGAAGGGAAACAGGAGGAATGGCACTAGGGAAGAGGGGAGGTAAGGGGAGAACTGGGAGGAATAGAGGGAGAGGAAACTCCAGTTGGGATGTACTGTATGGGAGAAGAATGAATAAAAAAATAAAAAATAAAATGGGTAGTGGTGGCGCACGCCTTTAATCCCAGCACTTGGGAGGCAGAGGCGCGTGGATCTCTGTGAGTTCAAGGCCAGCTTGGTCCACAAGAGGTAGTTCCAGGACAGGCTCCAAAGCTACAGAGAAACCCTGTTTCAAAAAACATAAATAAATAGCTGATAAACAACAAAGAATGAAGGGGAGATGCTCTAACCTGAGTAAGAAGGTAGGGAAGAGATGGGGTCAACAAGAATGAGCATCCCAGTACCTGCAAACACTGGGTATCAAGGTTTTCCGCCATCATTCTACTTCTGTGTTGTTCGAAAAATTCCCAAAGTAGCTGGCTGGTGGTGGCGCACACCTTTAATCTCAACACTTGGGAAGCAAAGGCAGGTGGACCTCTGAGTTTGAAACCAGCCGGTCTACAAGAATGAGTGAGTTCCAGGATAGCCAGGACTACACAGAGAAAACATGTCTTGAACAACAAAAACAAAACAAAAAAAAATGTGTATATATGTGTGGGTGTGGGTGGCTGCAGAGGCCACAAGAGCAAGTTGGATCCCCTGGAGCTGGTGTTACAGTTATGAGACTCCTGACATGGATACTGGGAACCCAACTCAGGTCCTCTGCAAGAATAAGAAGGAGACTTTACCTTCACTAAGCCATCTTTCCGGCCTAGGGTTAAAGTTTTAAGGCTATTTGTAACCCAAAAGGAGCATTACTTGAGAATTCTTTCTTTTTTTTCCCCCCAAGACATGGTTTCTCTGTGTAACAGCCCTAGCTATTCCAGAACTAGCCCTATAGACCATGCTGGCTTTGAACTCACAGAGATCCACCTGTCTCTGCCTCCCGAGTGCTGGGATTAAAGGCGTGCGTGAGAAATTCTTAATACGGAAGACTAGTCACTGCAAGACAGAACATTCCCACAGCACACGGCACAGCTAGGTTTGTGTTCACATATAAAGAACATTCAAACCAGCTATTCATGAGCTGTAATAGTATGACTCATTTTAATTTACTTGCTTAAGCAACTATTCTACAATGCAAAAACCACTAAAACTCTTAAGAGTTGTTCATAGTCTAGCTTTAGTTCACCATACTTTCATATCCCACAATATTAGATACGATCTCTTCTTCTGAGGTCAACCGACTGCATTTGTTAAAAAGTTCTCTCAATCGACAGCACTACCATATCTATATTGTCAAAACAGACTTTCCCCACCTTTAGGTCTGAACAAAACTCGAGCCTCAAAATATGAAACCTTTTAAGATTACACTCCCACCCTCCCGCTCCCACAGTGTTCTGCCCTAAGGGTGCTCACTTACATGAAGTGAGGAGGCACAGATGTGGGATGAAGACAGCCATAGAGAGTTGACTTTATACACTTTACAGCCCACGAAGGCTGGACCTCTGTCCTGACCACTAAGTGTTCTCAGGGTCGGGAGCAGTGCTTGACATTTGGTTGGTATTTATAAATGGCCTCGGGCAAAGGTTTCCATCTCCAGTCTTGACTTCTTTTCCTAGGAACTGAAGATAATACCTCACTGGCAGTTGGAAGGCTTGAAAACCTTTGCGTTAAAGGTAGCAACCACTATAGAAAAGGGGTAGCATTTGTATAGAAAAGACGGATCTCTGTGAGTTCAAGGCCAGCCTGGTCTACCAAGGGAGTTTCAGGACAGGCTCCAAAGCTACAGAGAAACCCTGTCTCGAAAAACCAAAAAAAAAAAAAAAAAGATGTTATTCCCTTGGGGCTGGAGAGATGGCTCAGTGGTTAAGAGCATTGGCTGCTCTTCCAGAAGATCTGGGTTCAATTCCCAACACCCACATGGCAGCTCAAATTGTCTGTAACTCCAGTTCCAAGGGATCCAACACCTCATACAGGCAAACCAATGTACATGAAATAAAAACAAATAAGTCAATTTTTGAAAAAAAGGAAGAAATCATTCCCTCTACTTCACGATTAACGCCATTTCCTGCCTGAAATCACACAGGAATCAAAGCCAGGCCTGTCTGCTACAAAACACGCGTTCTGATTTCGCAGGGCTAACAGGGACTATTGGCAGGACACAGTACCAGCCCCCTGAACTATCTGTCAGCTACCGAGGGCCACACCCGCGACCCCGCCCCGCAGGCCCACCTCGTGGTGCACAGCTGGGTCTCTCCCATAAGGTAGCGGGGCAGCTGGTCCCGCAGCTGGATGCGCCCCCGCAGCGCCGCCTGGCAGAACGTGCCGTCCAGAAGGATCTGGTAGGGCTCACGGACCCCGAAATTGTTACGGAAGAAGCCAAGATGCTTCTTGGCGTGTTTCTGCCTGGTGATCTTCATCCCTGCTTAAGTCCCCCGTCCCGGACCCGGCAGCGCCAGCCTCGCTTCCGCACTCCTAGACGCCCGTATCCCCGGAAGCGAAGCTTCTTCGGCCCGGAAGTACACGACCCAACTCTCTGGTTTGCGTAATCTCTCAGAGAAGCGCCTACTCCCACCTCCAAGCGCAGGCCTTAGGGGGCGGAGCTTCGCAAATTCGCGCGCGCTGGCACGTTCGCGTCCCTGAGCGGGAATAAAAAAATGTTGCTTTGTGCAGCTTGTTGCCTGGCACTTAGGAAGTCTCTAAAACATTAGTAATATGAAAATAACCAGCGATGAGCCATTGCTCCAGGCACTCTGTAATTTGCCATTTACTGTGTATCATCCCATTGAATGTTTTTAATTTTCAAGTGAGGGAGAGGAGCCAGTGTTGGACAGCCTTACCTTGGCAAGTTTGGCTGAGTGCTAGTCTATTATTTATTTATTTATTTTCGAGATAAGGTTTCTCTGTAGCTTTTTTGGTGCCTATCCTGGAACTAGCGCTTGTAGACCAGGCTGCCCTCGAACTCACAGAGATTCGCCTGCCTCTGCCTCCAGAGTGCTGGGGTTAAAGGCATGCACCACCACCACCGGGGAGTAGTCTTTACGGAAGCAAAGCGCCTTTGCTAAGGGAACATGGTTCTTCAGCATCTGGAACCCAGCGCTGACTGCCTGTTGTCCACAGGTATTTTACCACACCCCTAAAAATCGACCCCATCAAAGAGCCACGTGTCACGGTAAGAAGGTCTGTATACCCAAGTCGAGGTCACAGTCTCTACCCCATAAGCCTGTTCTGGAGAACACAATTAAAACAGCCAAAATTAACAGTAAAAAGATTTAATTAATGTGGCCCAATGGAGAACAAGGCTGAAGAGGTCGACTGAGCAGCCATTTCTGCAGTCAATCTCTGAGGTCCTGAAATGAAATGGAGTGTACATAGGTAGTCATGAATACGAGCATCTAAGGCGGTGATTCTCAGCCTTCCTAATGCTGCGACCCTTCAGTACAGCTCCTCATGTTGTGGACCCCAACCCTAAAAATATTTTCATTGCTACTTCATAACTGTAACTTTGCAACTTTTATGAATCGTAATGTAAATATCTGATATGCAGGATAGCTTATATGTGACCCCTGTGACAGGGTCATTCGACCCCCAAAGGAGTCGCGACCAATTGCGAACCACCAAAATTCTCACCAACCTAGGTTAATGTATGTTACCGCTCACCACTGACCCCTCATTTTCTAGGCTTCAGTCCTATCCTGCAAGGTGTTCGAACAAGGTGTTAGGACTATGAAATCTATTTCCCAGAAGACAAATTAAGTTTTCCCATGGGTCCTAGGCTCTGAGACTTTTCCTTCTCAGCACAAGAATCCCCATGGAGATTCCCATTTCTTGGGGTCAGTTGTTTCAATTGAAGGAAACAAAGGAATATCTTTATTTCTGTCAGACCAGTTACAGAGCCACTATTTGTGTCTCCTCATCCTAAAGCCCCTCCTAAATGACTCAGTGTTTTAGAAGAATTCCTGAGTTTCATTTTTTTTATTAAATATTTATTTATTTATTATGTATACAATATTCTGTCTGTGTGTATGTCTGCAGGCCAGAAGAGGGCACCAGACCTCATTACAGATGGTTGTGAGCCACCATGTGGTTGCTGGGAATTGAACTCAGGACCTTTGGAAGAGCAGGCAATGCTCTTAACCACTGAGCCATCTCTCCAGCCCCTGAGTTTCATTTTTTAAACAAAGTCTGTTGAGTTGGAAGCCCAGTCCTATCACTAACCTGGATCATTTGAGCTTTGTGACTCCAGGACAGCTGTGCCCAGCTTCCTCTTCAAACCAATTGGAAGGTTGATTCAATTTTATAGATGTTTTTCTGTCCATAGTTTCTGAGAGAAGAAACATACATACTGAGTTAAAAATAGGAAGACACACATCTGATTTAAATAATTTACAGGTTACTTAGTCCATTTGGTTAGATGAAGACAATGAACCAGAAGTTTTCAATTTGATTAACCACATGGGGTATCCATTGCCAGGTAAAATAATCAAAGAATGGAGAGTACGGATTTTGCATTTTTGTCTCTGCCTGGAATCTGTCCCAGATCTAGTTTTGGTCAAAAATTGAAAGAATCATTTTTTAAGTGACTTATAATGTGATTGAAATGTATTGCCTGTGTGTGGCATTTTATTTCAACTTATAGATTTATGGAATTAGAACTAAGGTATTCTAAAAAATTAGCCCTGATCTGGATCCCAACACTTTCCTGAGATGACGGCTGCTTTCATTTAACTGAAAGTTCAATTAGGAATTTGAAATCATGAGAAATTGTAGGAGGGTTGGATCTGTGGTCCTTAAGCATAATTTCTCACTATTTTCTACTTTGATTTTTCCTTTGTTCCTGTGTGCATGCTCCCTGCCTGAACATACTCTCATCACAAAGAAATATTGTCCCAGCCTTGTAAAACAATGAAAGCTTTATATTAAAAAAAAAAGGCTCACATCTTTCATTCTAGATCTAACTTCTAGACATCTTTTAGCTCTAGAAAGATGCGGGACACCACAAAGGACTTGAGTCATATTCTAGGGTTTTTCTTCTTGTTTTTAAATTCACTGAACTACAGCACAGTCTTTTTCAAGTTCTGTGTTTGCCTGCCAATTTGCCCTCTTCCTCTCCTTACAAAAGAACAAAAGCGCCTTATAACAGTGATGAGCAAGTTCGAATTTTTTTTCTCTTAATGTCTTCTAAAAACATGATCCTCAGATATGCAGACAACACCTTAGTGTGCTTGCTTAAGATAGCCATTTCTGGTTCAGACCTAGTTTTGTTGGAGAAAGATTCTACTTTAGTTGTGAGTTCTTAAACTCTTCCAGGGGGAACCTAACATGTGGATAGTAGTGGACTTTATATAGACTATGTCTTTTCCATTAGATACAGGCCTGTGATAAACTTTAACTCATAAATCAGTCATGTAGGGAACTGTCAACAATAATAAAATAGAGCAGTTAATACTGTGATAAAACTTATGTGAAGTTCTCTGTGTCTCTTGCCTGAGACCTGATTTTTAGTTTCAATTTCCACCCACTGAAGAACTAACAGGCTGGTAGTATATAGTATTCAGGCAGAGAGGCACATTTATTATTATGAAAATTTCTCCAAGTCATCACCATGCTTATTAGTGTTCCTGACTGGCCTTTTGCAGTAAAACATTACTGTTTATCCAATATGATATTTCCACTAGACCATCTACCTAAAACATTTTTGCCCAAATGCCAAATGACCTAGTATTAATGGCAAGTCAATATTTGGTTACAGCCAAGGCAGACGCTAAATATTACCATTATTCAATAAACTATTAGGATATGTTTAAAATTTTCAAAGAAATGAATTAATTCTTTTGAAAAATATTGCAATATCATTTTAAAAGCTACAGCAGTCTTTGAAAATATGATTTTATAGTGGTGACCCTTTAGTTTTGTCTTGGGTTGCTGCACTGCGGACATCCTATGCCAGACATGTACATTCAGCTGAGGTGGATGGAAATTTATTTTTCTTGACTTTTAAAATACTCTTTATATTCATTATTGTGTCTGGATCAAATATAATTTATAAAGTGATGTTGTTGTACATGATCTTGGAGGGTTTTTATTCCTCATGAAAGTTTGATGAAGCCAAGGTGACATGAGAATGATTTATTCTTGGAAGGTGTGACTAATACCAAAAAGGACTATTTCATGAAAGATTCATGGTCTAAATGGAATTAAATAGGCAAACATTAAGTTCAGTTCATAAAGGTTATTTTGTTCCACTCATGAATGTTAGTGTAATTTTATTTAATTTTATGGGCATCAAGGGATGCATGTAACATATCTATTGTGATGTTATCTTTCTTGCATTCACATTTAAATATTTATAAACAATTGTTAACATGGCATTAACTCAAAAAAGAATATTACTTTCCTCCTAAATTATGCAGCAAACATTCTCTCTAAATAAATGATTTAGCTGAATAAATTGCATTTTAGAACAAGTTAGGTGAACTGCTACATAGTGAGGTCCCATTAATGTCTTCACTGGATAGAGAGAGTTATACAGATATATTTTGTTCTATATAACAGAATTCATGTGAGCTCCCTGATCTGTCTGAAAGTGTTATTAAGATTCAATATAAAGGTGACACATTTAAAAATATTTTTAAATTTCGAATTACAAAATCGACCATGTCAATCCTATAGCAAGTAGAACAATAAATATAAGACGTTAACTCCTGCTGTATGGCAGAACCTCATTCCTGGGGAGCCACGGCATAAATGTCTACTCATCCCAGATAGGGAACCTAGAAAGAACGGATGTCACCGAAGTCCAGCTTGGCGAACCGATGCGTTTTGTGAGAGTCACTCACAGGAATAAGAGTGAGAGGTTACTTACGGGGACAGAAATGACTCAGAGACAGCTGCATCACTGACGTCCACCCCAGCATGGGTGATGGCTCACAAAAGCTGGGGACCTGGAGCACAGCTCAACGGGTTGGAAAGTGTTTTTTCCCGGTGCCTCAATCTCTTGTTTGAGACTCTTCTTTGTAGCTGTACTCTGCTTGCTCTGGCAGGAAGGAACCTAGAGAAGCTGGTCAGTTTCAGGGAGTTCTAGAAGCTACTGCTACTACTATTTGTTTGTTTACCTCCTTACTTAAGGAACTACCTACCCTGCAGTATAGAATTTTTTTATTTTTCCAAGACAGGGTTTCTCTGTAGCTTTGGAGCCTGTCCCGGAACTAGCTTTTGTAGACCAGGCTGGCCTCGAACTCACAGAGATCCGCCTGCCTCTGCCGCTTGAGTGCTGAGATTAAAGGCGTGCGTCACCACCGCCCAGCTAGTATAGAATGTTCTATCTATCTATCTATTTATTTATTTATTTATTTATTTATCTATCTATCTATTTATTTATTTATTTATTTATTTTGTTTTTTCGAGACAGGGTTTCTCTGTGGCTTTGGAGCCTATCCTGGAACTAGCCCTGTAGAACTCACAGAGATCCGCCTGCCTCTGCCTCCCG